ATTAGCTAGTACTCTGGTTGCTGTTTCATTATGGTATGGATGTTGGAACCAACTCCAACACACCAATAATATTCTTGAGAACACGAGTAGCTATATATCTCTTGTATAACTGAACGTGAACCATCAACGTCCCACTGGTTTTGCAAGATGCGAAATATTTATGCGCCTCATATATGCATCCTTAACACATTTGTTGGATCCTATTTCTCTGGGACTGCTTCTGGCCTTGCACGTCCCTGGGTCTGTCGTGCTTCCCGGGCGCATGAACACTGATCCCTTTATCTCCTCGTGTAGTAGCTTAATCAGTTGATGTAACTTATAGCTCTTCTTAATTTGCTTCAAACCACCCCTGTGCTGTATTCTCCTTTGGCACTGTGCCCGTGATGCTGTACTGCCCTGTTTTGGGATTTGAATTTTGTTGAACAAGATGATACTCCGCGCGTTGCTACGGAGGTTTCGAGTAAATAAAGTAGAACCAACGCCGTGCATATATGCAGAGTCAAGTTACCATACATTTGTATAGGAAACCAAGTAACCTAGAATGGGTTAAGCACACGACATACAACAAATATGAGGGATGATAATAAATAAATAGTTGCTAGCATGTTAACATTTTCTATAGAATCCTCGCTGTTTGGGATGATAACAGGGGCCTGTTTGGCAGGGCTCTTCCCCAGCTTTGACTCCGGCTGCTTCGGAGGAGGCCTACCAAACGTTTTGTAGGATGACCCATTTTCAATGAAAACAGAGGGGCCTGAGCTATTTTGGAGGAGCCACAATCCAAAACAGCTCCAGCTCCTCCGGAGAAGCTCTGCCAAACACCCCCTAGGTTTATGCATTGACCAAATATCTTGCTCGGAGCCCCGTCCCTCTCTTTATCCGATGTCTTGAAGCAATCTCTCTCCGTCGTCACCCACCTGTTGCTCCTCCACTAGCGAGATAGAGAGATGCTTGGGCGCTACTCCCGTTCTCCATGCCTCGTGCTTGGGGCTATGCCGCTAATGCTACTCGCTGCGGTGGCGCTGTGCTAGTGCTAGCTGCTCGTTGCGGCGCTGCCGAGATGCTTGGGCACTACTCCAATCTTGCCACACCTCGTGTTCGGGGCCGCGGCACTGGTGATGCTTGCGGTGGCAGTGCTGCCATCCCCTGCAGCTGCGCTCGGGGCCGCTATTTTGGTGTTGCTCGTAGCAGCGGCGCTGCCAGCTCAGTTTTGAGGTCTAATGCTCTAATGTGAGGTGGGCTAAAGTTTAAAGCTAAGTTTAGACGACCTGTTTGGAGCTTTAGCTCTAAAATTTAGAGGAGGGGATCGAAACAGGCCATTAGTGGTGAGCCCTTACAGCATAAAGGGAAAGTGGAGCGGTTTGCATGTGCACTGCATGCAACTAAGAAGAAGAAACGATGAGAATACGCATGCGCATGCGACGACAAAATGACAAATAAAGAGATGGCAGACATGACTCCAAAGGCAAAGACTTATGGCAAAGGGCTTCACATAGAGAGAAAGCATTGATTATAATGAAACTTTCTCGCCTATCTCTAGTAAAGACTCATTCAGAATAATCAAGGTGCTTGTGGCGCATTATGATTTGGAGTTGCATCAGATGGATGTCGAAAAAATATTTCTAAATGGAGATTTACATGAAAATGTTTACATGGCTCAGCTAGAAGAAGGTTTTGCTATGGAAGGAAAAGAACATCTAGGTTGTCAGCTCAAGAAATCCATTTAAGGATTGAAACAAGCATCAAGGCAATGGTACCTCAAGTTTTGATGAAATAATCAGAAAGTTTGGTTTCAAGGAAAACAAGGTAGACAATTGCTTATATGTCAAGTTCAGGGGAGTAAATTCATCTTTTTGTTCCTCTATGTTGATGACATTCTGTTATCTAGTAACTAGTGATGCGAATCTACTGCTAGAAACCATGAGATTTCTTGCCTTTAAATTTGACATGAAAGATATCCGAGAAGCTGTCTATGTGTTAGGCATTGAGATACACCGAGATATAACAAAATGTGCATTGGGTTTGTGTCGGGGGCAAGTAACCAGGGTACCCCAAGACACTGTGAGAAAATCCCTCGGGACGGTCTAGCTGGCCAGGGCCCAGCAAACCACAACCTGCTCGACCTCCCGCCCCCTCAAGCCGTACGAGGCCTGCCTCGACTTCTCCCGCCTCTCGACCATGCACCACGCGGTGCCCTCGACCACCTCTGGCCTTAGCCACTAGGGAAGGATGGGAAGTGGGTGGACGCATTAAATGCACCTGCTCAGACGGAAGGATGCGCATGCACTCTGTCGGGTATGAGAAGGACGACCATCCCTCTGACCGCCAGGCCCTGGGGTAGAGCATCATCTTATTGGGTAGCACTCTGCTGGCAGACAAGACAACATCACGACTCGGTCGCGTCACCCCGCATGGCTCAGCACTGTCCAAATCTCGTCCGACTCGACAAACGGGCGTACGATCGTACCCGCTACGGAACGGGGTGCATGACTGGGTATGTAGCCAGTTCTCCATGAACCGGCCGAATCCAATACCCCCGACCCGACCACGAGAGGTCGTGGCAATGGGGCCGTGACCAAGGGAGCAGGTAGCCCACGATGGACAACCGCTCCCCGTTACAGCCACACCACGACTTCTTCCCGAAGAAACAGGCACCAGGACAAAGGCCACGACGTCAACGACGAGCCCATGCCATATAGGAGGGTTGGTGAACAACCACCATTCCTATAGTGTCGCCACGACCGGCACAGTGCCGCCATGGCACGCCATGCCTTCTTGGCGTGGGGAACAAGATCCCAACGACCATACCTGGACGTGCGTACAGAAGCAAAGGACAAGACAAGATGGATTGCTGACCAAGTTCACTAGCTTCACCCTCCCATCGGTCTCTCGACCACTCGGGTCGGGAGAACCCCTTACTTCTACTTGTATACCGGCCCCCGCGGCTATATAAGGGAGCTGGGCCTTCTTTCTAGGGATCGATTTCTCCTACCTCTAGCTTTCTATCCGTAGAACCCTTGCTTGCATATCCCCTGCTGTAAGCCGTTTGGAGCACTTGAACTTGGAACACGAACTCGCGGTCTCTGGCACTAGACATAGGGCTTCGTCCCGAACCAGTATAAATTCCTTGTGTCTCGAGTGCTAGACATCGACTCCCTTGAGCAGCGCGGCGCTAAATTCACTCGTCGGTTCTCAAAATACCGACAGTTTGTCTCAAAAGACATACATCAAGAAGGTACTCAAGAAGTACAAAAAGCACAAATGCTCAGCCTCACCTGCTCGTATAGTGAAGTACAATAAATTTGGACAATTTCAGTGTCCAAATAATGAGTATGAAGCTTCATAGATGAGGGCAGTACCACATACTTTGGTTGTTGGAAACATCATGTACGCTCAAGTATGTACTCGCCTTGACCTGGCATTTGTTACTAGGATGCTTGGAAGATATCAGCCAAATCCAACATTGGAAAGCCGTTAAGAAAGTCTTGCATTATTTGCAAGGCACTAAGAGCTACATGCTCACATACGGAAGGGTCTGATAACCTCGAAAATGCTGATTTTGCAGTGTGTGTAGATACTAAAAAATCTACATCAAGATATGTCCTCAGCCTAACTGGAGGAGCTATTTCATGGAAAATCTCTAAGCAAAGTGTTACTGCATCGTCAACAATGTAGACCGAATTTGTGGCATGTTATAAGGCTACCAGGTAGGCAATATAGCTAAAGAATTTTATCCCAGGATTGATAGTGACCGACAACATATCTAAACCGCTCACGTTGTATTGCGATAATCAACCAGCAATAATCTATTCGAGTAACAACAAGTCAAGTGGTGCTAACAAACATATCGACATCAAATACTATGTGGTGAAATGGAACGATGTACTATAGTCATCAGAGGGTTCAATGGTACTTAATTGACTATTGTAGTCTTATGTAGTGGTGTATTATTTTGTTGAGAAATAAATTTATGACAATAAGGCTTATGATCAAGGGGGAGAATGTTGGATTGATCATAAGTAGCAAATGTAAAAACTCCTAATTTGTTGTGTGCTGAGTCAGTGTGTGAAAACAAAGTCCCACTGTACAATTCAAAAGTTATCCTAGGGCAAGGACAAACCTGAATCAGCCTCAACCTTTGACTGAAAGGAAGCCCCGGCCCCCACCCAGTGTGCTGTAGCAAGAATAAATTGAGAGGCACCCCAGGCCATCTTAGGCAAGTGAAAGCAACTAGCCATAGCAGCCACTGATCAGGCAGCTACTGCAACACTGGGAAGGATTTCCCACAGCTAGCCTCTACTGCGTTCTTGCCTGCGCCAAGCAGGCATGGGTCGTCACTTGAACTAATGACTAACTCATCCAACGAAGGTATGAACAACAGCACTGGTTCCATTCATATTCTTTTGTCCTAGTGGTAGAGCTTAATGATCCTGTAAATCTAACAGGTGACGCCTTCAGGTTGGTGCAAGTGCAACCCAACTTAAACATGTTGCAATTCGCTGCTTTACCTGAAATATGGTCCATGAGATGATCATCTGTATGTTTTCCTCATTCAGCATAGCAGCCCTTTTACAATTACCGTGCATATATATTGCGTTGCATTGTGCAGTGAAGAAGAATGTAAGTGAACTAAGCAGAAACTGAAATATTTATATACCAGCAGCATGCATGTAGATGATCAGAAACTATGGAGTAACAAAAAAGAATCCAATTCTCCTCCTTCTATGCCGGCTGCCTAGCAATAGCAAGAGGCCTATCTATGGGGACCTCGCTTACCCGACGAGGACAAAGAAGTTGCGATTGCCTGGTGTTCCATCTTGGCAAACGCAATGTAAATTTTATCTATGAACTTTCGATGAACTATTTGTAACCTCAAACATATGGCTACTTGTTTGAGAGCCACTCAATATAATCAAACAGGTGGGGGATCATCCCCCCCCACCCACCCCCGTCGACTTATATCCAAAAAAAAAGCAATAGCAAGAGGTGCTATTGTTGTTCTACTTGAAGAAGTTGCCAGTCTTCATGGCGTCCTCGTTGGCTGCACCAAGAGCAGCCTCGTTGAGGTACTTGTCAGCAAGCTGCACACGCTTGACATTCTCCTGCTCCGCCACCAGCATGTGGCCATACTCCAAGAGCTTCTCGATCGTCATCTTGGGCTGCTCTAACGTGGGCGGCCCCTCCTTGGAGTTGACGAGCTTCTTGGCGATGTTCTCGACGCCGGTCTCGGCCACCCACCGGCGCACCTCGTCGTCGTACACCCGGGCACGCAGGGCGCCGAAGAAGTCGATGGACTGACCCGGGAAGGTGTCGACCAGATGGACGACGTGCTCCTCGTCGATGCCGTCGGTGCGGAAGATGCCCTTGCACACGCCGATGCGGTCCTCGCGGGTGGGCGCCCAGTAGAACTTCTCCATACGGCCGTCGCGGATGAGCGGCGCGTACAGCGTGGAGAAGTCGTTGCCGGTGACGATGATGGGCACCCGGGCGTTGTCCACCTTGTTGTACATTCCCGGGAGCTGCACGTTGGTGGGGTTGTCGGCGATGTTCATCAGGGTGGCGTTCACCATCTGGTTGTTCACCGTGTACTGGGTGGTGCCGCCCATGCGACCCGCGCCGGCGTCGAGATCGTTGATGAAGAGGCAGGACATCTTGCCCTTGGAGATGAGGTCGGCGGCCTCACGGTACCGCTGCCTGATGAGCTTGGCGGGCTCTCCAGCGTTGCCGCTCTCCAGCTCTCCGGCGCTCATCATGATGGGGCTGCATATGCATCCAGATAAATATATTGATAGGTATGTAGGAGTATGTATTATCGAATCGAAACGAAAGACGAACGAATCAGCACAGCACAGCACGTACATGATGCCCATCTTGGCGAAGACAAGCTCGCATTGGAAGGATTTCCCCTGACCTTTGCCTCCCCAGATACCCAGGATCAGGGGAACCTGCAGATGGATATATATTAGGGATATATATATACAGTAGTGGGTTATATATATAATTATTTATTTAGTACTTTAATAACTAATTAAATCATCTATATATCATGTGAGAAATTAAATTACTGTATCATCTATGAAATGAAATGAAAATATAGTACGTGTACTAATCTATACTTATATAAGGGCCGTCCGGATCGTACCTTGATGTTCGGCAGCTTCATGAAGTTCTTGGAGAGGTGGACGATGAGCTTGTCCATGAAGCCCCTGGCTATGTAGAAGCCATCCATGGTGTTGTCGAAGCTGTAAGTCTTTTGGCCCTGGCTGATGTAGTCGTAGGAGCTGAGCACGGCGACGTGGGTGCCGTCCCCCATAGGCGCCTGGAAGAGGGAGTCGATCATGCCCTTGCCCCTGGTGATGTCCTGCTGGTCGTCCGAGATGTCGAAGGCCAGCCCCTTCCATCTGTCCCCGTCCGTCTGCTTCGTCTCGTCCACCTCCTTGGCCGCCATCACCTTGAACCTGTTGGCGGCGCTGCTGGAGCTCTTGCCATGGTAGTTCACGGCCGCCGCAGACACCTGCTGCTTGTTGAGCTTCTTCCCGAGGAAGCTGCTCCTGCTCGGGGTGGAGGCCTGCATATAAATATACGTGCAGTATATATATATACGTCAAGGCAGAGAGGCAGCCAGGCAGGAGATGATCATGACATGAAGAAGAAGATGTTGAACTAGCTAGATGTATGGAAACGACAAAGCAAGCTAAAGGACACCCACCGGAGCTCCGACGGTGGAGGAGAAGGCGGCCGCCATTGATGGTTTTTGGACCTTGCTAGCAAGGAAGTAGGAACACACACGGGAAAGCACACCCACCTGATGCCCGCCGCCGCCGCTGCTCAAAGTACTACTGAGGTCGAGCCACGCACGGCATTAAATAAAGAGCGAGCACGTATGGTGGTGGTGGACTGGTGGCCTGGCCGCCGTTGTGGTGGCTGCCTATGGCCGGCAGTTCAGCAGGGAAAGGGGGAGTGTGAGAGCCGCAAGCTGCTCGATCGATCGTCTTGTGGATCACCACATCTTCCTCAGGCCACACGCTGAGGATGAGGTTCTGCACACGTGGCCACATCCCGGCCGGCCAATAGGATGCTGTGCTTCGCTTGCAATACTGCCGCGCGCCAAGACTAATCATTGCAAGCGCAGAGCAGACATCTACTCTCTTGGCTTGGTTTCTATGACTCTGCATCACCACACCATTTCATGATGAACCACAACCTTCAATTCTTTGCTGGACCTGGATGAGGCACAACCAAATATTGTATGCTAGCTCCACAGAAATTGTTTCGACATGTACGTATTCCTTCTCTGATATACGTCGATAGCTACAGTCAATAGCTTCTACAACATCCGCTGTGCTGACCTCAACCTTGTAATAAACTCGGCAAATATTGTCCTCATCTCAAAGAAGGATGGTGCGGAAAGTATCCAATACTTCGGGTCAATTAACCTGATCCATGCAATCGCCAAAATCGTAACGAAAATACTTTGCGCTACGTCTCACGCCATTCATGAACACACTTATCTCCCCTTGCCAGAGTGCCTTCATCAAGGGCCAAAGCATACATGACAACTTCCTCTCCGTAAGAAACATCGCCAAGAAATTTCTGCAGAGGAAAAACGCCAGCCTTGCTTATGAAGTTGGACATCTCAAAAAAGCTTTTGATTCGGTACTACGTTGGGACTATCTTATTGCCCTACTCCAATACAGAGGCTTCCCACCATGTTGGAAAGAATAGATTTTAGCAATAATACTTACTTCATCATCCTCCAAACTCCTACTCAACGTGATCCCACTTTGGCCGATCCAACATGGATGAGGATTGAGGCAAGGTGACCCTTATCGCCACTGTTTTTCATTTTAGCAATCGATCCTCTACAAAAGATCTTCTCTTGTGCAACCGAATTGGGCCTGCTCAGCAAAATTGGAGGAGAACGCTGAGATTCTGGGTTCTCCATGTACGGTGATGATGCGGCAATATTCATTAGACCGACAAAAAAAAGATGTTGACAACACAATAAGACTTCTGCACCTCTTTGGAGAGGCCACATGCATCAAAACAAATTTGCAAAAAACAAGCATGGAGAGGCCACATGCCTCAAAACAAATTTTACAAAAAACAAGCGTGGTAGCCATCAGCTGCAGCAACATCAACATGGAGGATGTCATGGTAGCCAGTTCCTCCGCGCTCCGGACCACTCGTTGCAGCGCCACCTCCAGGTCCTCCTGCGTCACGGCAGCTACTAGCTTTGGCTTGGCCTCAGATGTGGACACCGATGGGAGGATGGTGAGCGGGGTCATGACTCCGGTGACTCGCACTCGTCGGATGATAACGACGAGGACGACATGGTGGAGACGACGGAGTTTCTCTTGGGCAACCCACTAACACATGGTGTTGGACCCATATAACACCGAATTAGTTTTTGGTTGGCCCTATCTTTTTGTGAATTGGGTTTTGCGTCAGTGGGTTGCCCCAGAAAAACCTGCATCCCTACATTCGATTGAGAAGCCAGCTTTAGAAATCTCTAAGAACCCTCTAATATATGTTGTTTTATTTGTTTGTTTTTTTGTCTCCTCCAAATCAGGCTTCTAGCCCAAGTTGTTTTTCAGTAGCATTTTTCTGCTAAAAATCCATGTAGGACACCTAACCAACCCTGACTATAAAACGGGATTGGTGTTTTTATTATCTTAACCTATTACTAATTAGAGTCATCAACGGAGGCTTCACGTTAATTCTCTCCAGACGCGCTAGGAAAAAAGATAAATGCTAGAAATTTACTACCGGAGGCCGCGGCTTTGCCGAGTGTTTTTACACTCGGCAAAGAGCCCTTTGCACTCGGCAAAGGCTTTGTCGAGTGTAGCACTCGGCAAAGTCCGCTCGGTAAAATTTTTCTGGACAAAGAGTCTTTGCCGAGTGCTTTTTAACGGGGCACTCGGCAAAATAAAAAATAATTCTGCCGAGTGCTTGGGGCGGCATTCGGCAAAATATTTTTGGCCGTTGCGCGCCGGCCGTTAACGGTTATTTTGCCGAGTGCCCGACCCAGCACTCGGCAATTTTTTTTTTAAAATTACTTTGCCGAGTGCCCCAGCCCAGGCACTCGGCAAAGTTTTTTTTATTTTTTTAAAAAAAGTACGTTGCCGAGTGCCCCTGCCCCGGCACTCGGCAAAGCTTTTTTTTTTTTTTTTTTAAAAATTACTTTGCCGAGTGCCCCTGGCTAGGCACTCGGCAAAGTTTTTTTTTATTTTTTTTAAATAATTTCTTTGCCGAGTGCCCCTGTTTAGGCACTCGGCAAAGAATTTCTGGATTTAAAAAAAAATACTTTGCCGAGTGCCGCGGCGAAGCACTCGGCAAAGATTTTTTTCTTTTTGAAAAATCTTTGTCAAGTGCCTTGCCCATGGCACTCGGCAAACACCCCGAGAATTGCAATTTTTTTTACATTCCATTGTAACCGACAATATATATATATATATATATATATATATATATATATCAATCATCACATCTATATCACCAACATGCATTATATATCACAAGCACACGCATATTTAATAAATCCATCGAAAATCCATCACAAATGCACCAAAGTTCAAAATCACAAGTTTATTATTACAAGTTCAACATCACAAAGTTCAACATCCCTACTGCGGCGACGGAGATTGCAGGTGTGGCCCCCTGGACAGCGGTGAAGGACCGGACTGCGGCGAAGGGTTGACGCGATCAGCCGCCGGTGACACGCTAGCGGGATTGTTTGAACCCACCGACGAGGCTGCACAAAAGAGAAGAGATTGCATGTGTTAGACCCAAAATTGAAAATTTCGGCAGCACCTCCCCTGCACAGGGAGGTTTCCAACCTGCAAGAAACAATGGCATGAAGGCCGACAATCACAACAGCACGAAGGCCGACAAGCCCAACAGCACGAAGGCCGAAAATCACAACGGCACGAAGGCCGACAATCCCAACGGCACGAACGCATTAAACTTTCATACTCACAGGAGTGAAGTGTCGAATCGGAGCTGGAGCTGGCAACTGCACTTGGACACCCGATGCTTGCCCGATGGTTTGCAAGATCTGATACATGTCCGCCATCTGCTTCTTCGTGGCCTCCAGCTCTACGGTCAGGTGCGCTTACGTCTCCCTTGTCTCTGCCAGCTCGGCCTGCAGTGTTTCAATCACATGTTTCAGTATTGCAAATCTGATCAATGTGTGTAACATTCAATGTACGACGAGTGAAACCAGAATTACGTGAAGTTCGTTGACCCGCGACAGTGTTGGAGTAGGCCGTGCACGTATGGGAAGGCTTCGGCATAACCGTGCCCTCACGTCGAGAGAGAGGGTGTAGAGCTCGAGGTCGGCGGCGTCTCGCAATCCACAACCGCCGTGCTTCCCGCCTTTGCCCGACCTCACGATCACCTCTGTCTCAAGGGGCTCGATTGCTCGATTGTGATCGAGCCACGGAGCGCCTAACCGCCTCGTGTAGTCTCTCGACCTTAGCGTGGACGCCGAGTGAGAGTAAGCCTAAGCGATGGCATCCGGGTTGAAGACGACACCGGATTTCACCGAGCCCATGTGGGGACACATGCCCATGCCCCAAACTCCGACACCAAGCACGCCCGGTGTGCCACCTCCCGCGAGAAAGACGGCAAGATGATTAGAAATCAGGCAAAATTGAGCGTTAGAATAGATAAATGACATCTCGTACAAGTGCCTGCTTGAATGTGGGGAGGTTGCGGCTGCCTTGGTGGTGAGTTGGACCGGTCCTCGCGTGCCGCTTCCGCTTGCCTTGCTCGTGCTGCGATGTACGCTGGGTCAAGGTACCTGCCCACGATCCTTGACCATGCCGATCTATGCGACATGCACCAAGAGGCCGCACTACTACACATCATTAAGTGTTTGACATATAAGAAGATCAATTCGGACCTACTAAATCTCAAAACGAATCAATATTATTCACCTACCGAAGGTACTGCTCCTTGGTCAGCGCCACCTTCTTGGCGCCAGATTTTGTTGAGGGCTCTTTCTTGATGGACTGTAGTAGTCGACGTGGGCTGGAGTCGCGCCCGTGAATCATGTCGCCGACGTACTTCTTACTGTGCTCTTGTGTGTGTCTCGATCCGCCAGGTCTCTCGACCTTCTTGCCTTGAAGTACCTCTCGCATACATACACGATGTATCCGTTCATTATTTCAATAAAAGACTTAACCAATGGAGGAGATGTATTGAGCTATGTTGTGAGACACTTACCCAAAAGTCCGCCAAAACCTGCCTCCTTGTTGTTGTCCCGTCGTCATCCGAGCCGAGCTTGTACATCCCACGACCAGGCCGGCTCCCACCTCCCTCTTTCAAGTCCACAAGGCCGGGAAGTGTTTCCTCACATGACATCCCGGGTAGCAGTAGCAGCGGTGCGTGGGGGTCAAGAGCACCGACGAACTAGCCAGCCCCTGCATAAGTGATTAAGAAAAATTATCAGTTTCTCTTTTGATTTTCAACGTATCATATGAAGTACTAGTGATAACATCTATAGTTACTTACCTTCTTCCCACAGGACGAACCAGTGGGCGTTGGTCAGGAAGCGGAACCGGA